TATATTAGAATATGATCTTTTTAGGACACTGACAACAATTCATAAGAAAGAAAGAAAGAGAGAGACTTAATTTAGAGAGGTTAGGATTTGTGTATTACATTTTACTAACCATGATATATTTTAGCACACTAACTAATAAAACTATCACACTACATAGCATTATAATCTATTTTGAGTTAAAATCTTTAGAGAAAATAACAGCCATGACTGAGTCTTAGTTCATGAGGCTCTGACATTTATTGAGTTGTTTCCAAGTTTCACAACTAATTTTTTGAAAAGTGGATTCGTCACCCGGGAAAGCACCGCTGTTGCTCAATAAAGCAGAGCCCTCACTTTAAGGAGAGTGGCCTCGGGAAGTACAGTTGGTGGGAAAGCCAGCTGTGGCCCAAGCACACCCTGGGCCTCTTCCCTCCTCCTGCCTGTCTTTGCTTATTTACTTTCCTCTGCCCAGAATATTCCCTTCAACTTTAGATATTTCCCCTATTAAAATCTTACCCCTGAAAGACTCTCTTCAGGCACTAACATCTCTTTCAGGATGGCTTTACTACATTTTCTCTCTGACATAGCACTTCGTATATTTTTGTATTGTAATTACTTCAGTTACTTGTGTCATGGCCCCACCCAGTTTTAAACCCCTTGGACGCAGGCTGAGTCTTGCCTGTCTTTGCGCCCTCCGTGGCGAGAGCCAGCACCGCCCCTGCACGTCTGTGCTCACCCCCGTTAGCCCAGCCACCTTCAGGTTCCTTCAGGGGGTCGGTGCTGTTTCTCCAAAAGAGGATGACAGGACTTGGCATTTATTTTTTACACCCAGCTTCCCCATCCATATCCATTCTATTAAATATTTGTCTTTTACTTTCGCCTGTTGTGTCCATGAAACAATATTTCAGGGGAACGTTCCTACCCGGGACAACAGCTAATAGCCTGAAGGTGGGTCAGCTGCTTCTCTTCCGCAGAAGCGCGAAAAGCATAAACTAGGAAGGACACTTGGGAAGGGCCACCTCCGCCGCACTGCTCCTCAAAGAGCCACCAAAACACAGCACACCCGAGCTCAGAAGAAAAGATGACTTACATGAAAATTATTTGGAAGAGTTTACAAAACCCTCCCCATTGCCATGGTGATGATGCATCATTAGGTAGAATTTGCCCATTAATCGGAGCTGATTTATTTCACAATCACTTTTGTAATGTTGGTTATCAAACTTTATGATGTAGGATTTCAAATACAAATTCAAAATAAACTTCACGGATTGCTGTTATTTACTTGAAGGAATCTGCTAAATGTTGGCTTTTTTCTAATATGTTGTTTCAAAAATTACACATTTTTAGGTAAAATGTTTTCTCTTTGCCTAAATCCTTATAGTCCATACAAGGTGCCTGATAACTTGAGTCTGACTAACCCCCAACCTCACTTCTTGCAACTTCCTCTCTCGTTCCCTTTACTGTAATTGATAAATCAAACTTATAATTCTTCTGAAAACACCATATTGTTTTGCTCCCCCTTTCCTCTTCCCTGGATGCGTCTTACTCAGCCTACAAAACTCAGCTCAGGTCTTATTCCCAGCAGTTAGTCTGCCCCGGAACCCCGGCCAGCATGGACCAACTGCCTTCATCTTTGCCCCCTTCTCTTCCACTCGCGCACTCACTGTTACTTCCTATGTTTTATTGGGATTCTCTCTGCATTTGTCTTATGTTCTCAATAAAACACAGACTTTGCAAGAGGAGAGCCATAACTTGACTTTTTATTATCACTTCCTAAAAGGATGCCCTTCTCCCTATAGGTCTTCCTACATGTCTGTATGAAACTGTTCAAAAGCCCTTAAATAGATTTACAATGCCACCTGGCATATTCATCTTTTGAGAGATCTCAAAACTGACATGGTTACAAGTTAATAGAAATAATAGAATTTCACTGCAAGAATATGTCTTTAAGTTTACAAAATATCTAAATTATATGCATGGGAAATACACTTTGTGTTTCTTTTCACTGATGATATAATTTTCGGGTGTTATTTCTTTTAGTAACAAAACAGTGCTTTTTTTAGAAGTTTAATTTTGAGGTAATTGTAGATTCACATAAGTTGTGAGAAATACAGAGAGATCCTGTATGCCCTTCACTTAATTTCTCCAAGGAGGCTGTCCTTCAATTGGCATTTAAGTTTGCATCAAAGTATACACATACAGAACTATAAGTTATTAATCTAACAATTGTCAAACAAAATTCTAGTGCTCTTTTCCAAAAATACTGTGTAGACAAACTTGCTCACCAAAGAACAGAGAACACTGGAGATACTCTTTATGAAAAACAGAGAAGTCCTCTAGACTTGAGTTTCTCAGAAAGTCACTCACATTCACAAATATTGATAACAAAGGCAGTCATTGTCCATTGCCCACAAGATTATCAAATTAAGACTTACTGACATATGATGTATCCAAAAAAGTATTTTCAGAATTTGGAAGGATTTTAAATCACCTACGTCTTCCCTCTATTTTGAAGCATGTTGAACCTTTCAAGCTAGCTTTAAGTAGCTGTAGAGTGGGACAAATGGTTAACTGATTGCTGGATTTCTTGAATATTGAGTTCCTATTTTGTCCAAAATAGAAAGAAACTCACGGATTTCTATGATCCACCATGTGCAGTGCACTCTCAGAAATAATCAGTCAAGGATCTGGTAATATTTATATCGCAACACCTTTCCTGTTCCCAACTTAGTCTGTTACTACAGCTTAATCCCACTACTTCTCATTCACCTTCAAAAGTCTTGGGTGATTCTTTGCTAAAAATCACCCTTCATTCCTTTTCATTCTAACAATTTCCAGTTACACAGTCATACAAAGGGAACACCTTGAAATTTACTGTCAGTGTTTACTTGCCTCTTAAGTAAGCAAAGTAAGTAACAGCTTAAATATTTTGCCCCAGATCCCTACCATCTGCTGTGCTCTATATATTCTGCTTATGGCATAAATCAAGCCTATTAGATTTCCTTCTCGGAAACTCAGACATTGTCCTCTGTGGCATTCCTGTGAAAGACTATTATCTTGATGAGTCATTTTGTCAGATGGTTTTCCAACAGGATCCCCTGTGGGAACAGAAATGCTCAAGGAGATAGGAAGCAGAGGCAAATTAGTCAGAGATTGAGAGCAAGATATTCCGAAAGCTGAGGCTTAACTGTTGGATCCGTCATTCCTGATCTGTGTCGCTTTATCACCTTGTGTGTGAGTTATACACCCTCAGAATCCTGCATTTTTTCACCTGCAGTTGAGAACAGCAACACCTCCTTTTAGGACTGTTATGAATTAAAGAAATAAACTACAAGAAAGTACCTCTTACAATGTGCAAATGAATGTGTGTGTAGGAGTTCATACCTTGAAGGCCACTACCAGCATAAAGAAAATGGGTGTTAAACGTATAGATAATGTCTCCTGCACCCGCTACCATCTTCCCTTGGTTTGAGCCTGCCCATCAATATCTATCTTACTCTACTAAGGAAAGTGCGTGCTGTGTCAGGTCAGAGACTTCCCGCAGGAGACCTGGACGGAATGGTCCATGCCTGCAGTCCTGGCGCAGGTCTCTCTGGTTATGTCAGCCTTGCAGTGGGGAAATTAAAGCATTTTTACCGGCCTCCCCACGGCTCCTCAACCTGTGAAAGAAAGGGAGCTTTTCATGTCTTGAGAACCAGCTCCTCTTTTCCACTGGGAAGAGTATAAACACACAATTTGTCACCCACGTTCAGGATGGTATTTCTTATGCTAGGTGCCATATGGTAAATAAAAGCTATGATCAACTTCCAGACTTTAGGGGCTCAATCAGTGGGAATTTGCAGGTTCCATTCAGGGTTGTACAACTTGGTAAAGAAGTTCCAAAATCTAGAACGCTTGGAGGAAAACTTCCCTCTAAGTGTAACTAAGAAGTCACTAGGCTCTAGGCAAGTTCTGATGATTTAGTACGTATATCTGATTTAATCCTCACAACAAGGCTCTGTGGGAGGTATATTATGTTGCCCATTTTACAAATGAAATTGAGACACAGGCAGGTCAGTGGTTTCTGCTACAGTCATTCACCAAAAGATGCAAAGCCAGGATTCAAACCCAGCCACTCTGGATCCAGAGCCCTTCGATAATCACAATGCAGCTTCCCACCCCGAGAAAGCTTTTCCAGGAGTTACGAAACAGCAAGGAAGTAGTCAGCACCCAAGGCCTTCTTAACTTCAAATAGGTGGGCATTTTGAGTAGAATGTCAAATGCCTCTTCTCTAGTTACCTACAGACTTTTCAGAGAGGCATTATCTCTAAATGCACCAACAGCAACTCGTGTATTAGGGGAAAATGTCTCTTCTCTACCAGTTACTAATTCCCTCAGTTTTCCATTCTTTCCAGGAAAAAACACTAAAAAATGCTGATGGATTTTCTCCCAACCCAGCATAGCGACCCTGCTATTTTAAAGACCATGTGGATGTGGGATTAGCCTCTCTGTACCTCAAAATGTCAACGCACTTGCCAAAAATAAATTTATCAGTTAAATGTAGCCAAAAGATTTCGTTTATCTAAGTGTCCTACAAAGAAGAAATAGTTTACCACTGTTTTTACAGATTGAGGTAAATCTGACATATTATTGACATATGCTCTAGATTTAATTTAATACCATAGTACAGATGTGCACTCTGATAAGTTTTGTGAAATCTAGACTAAGATGAGTAGAGTAGTTTCAATATTTATGGGGTTGAAAATGCAGAGTTAGCAAAGGAAGCATTTTAATTAAAACAATGTTTCCCTTATATGCTCAGAGTGAAATACCGGGGATGCTCTTAAAGAACTACTACCTGTTTCCAAACAGCTTCTGGGTTTTCAGGCACATTGAAAGAGGCTGGGGTTTGAGTTCCAATTTTTTTTTAATCTTTTGATTTTAGAACCATCAAAAATAAACTCAATAGTTTCTTCGGATTTTTACTTCTCTCAGCTGAATTTATGCGACTCTCTTAGAGCCCCTGTAATTGTATGTTTCAGGTATCCTGAAGATAACTTCAGTGGAAATCGGAGTTGTGGCCGTCAAAGCCATTAACAGCAACTATTACTTAGCCATGAACAAGAAGGGGAAGCTTTATGGCTCAGTAAGTATTCTGCTTTCACGTTCCAGATTCACTGCAGCAAATGACCACCACCGTTTCGGAACGGTTCCCCCAGACACTGACTAGCTTTGCTGCCGTTCCGCTGCTAGTAAACAGAGCCACAGCGGGCGCGCAGCAGAGTTTCAGGGGCTGGCAACCCTGCCTCCCCCGCTGCTCATCCGTCAGTCCACGTCCCGGACTGATCGCTCACCAGTCAGGCTCTCACGGAAGCATCTGCTCAGTTGGCAGGGGCACTGCAGACAACTTGGGGAGGAATCACTGAAAACAAATATCCTGAACTGAGCAGAAAACTATATAATATGCGTGTGTTACAGCTGAAGATACAACAGGGACTCGGGTGCTTTGTATTCTGTTAAAATCTGAAATGGGGAGGAGTTGGTCATTTTGTGTGCCATTCGGTCAACTCCAGAACTGTATTTACCTACACAGAGCGATGAGCTCCGTTCTGGAGCTGCCATCCAGCCAGTGCTTTACGTGCATACACCCTGGTATTCCACAGCAAGGATCAAGAAATGTCGCTTTAAAATGTGTAAATGAATTTTTTTTGTTGATTGACGTAAGATGGGAGTGCCAGCAGCTCTCAAGCTTGAGCATGTGTGCGAATCACTGGATTTATTAAAACGCATACAATCCAGAGCTGTGCAATGCATAAACCTAACTACCTCTCCAAGACCATACTTTGAGGTCTTGCTCTAGCCTAGAGTTTTTTTTAAAAAAACTCTAATACTTATGATTTGCCTAAATGCTATAAACAGCATGGATTATTAGGCTATCCTGCAGAGACTCTGACACAGCATTTGAGCTATGGTCTAAATATTAAAAAACCTGAGATGAGGAGCCCACTACAGGTGTACCTCACTTTAAGAAGCATTGCCTTATAAATTTATTTCGGGGAGAAAAAATAATTAAGTGTCCACTGCTACTTTTCTATACACAGCTTTGTTTCAAATATAAAATCATCTAAAATGATCTCAATCCTCCCAATCTCTAAATTGCACCCCATTTATTGAAACGAATATAATTATCCATGTAAAATATCATCTCTCCTTTGAAAACCATATAGTTTTAGACCAACTAAGATGAATAAATGGGGGGGGGGAGGGAATCCTTAGCCTATACTAAGGATTCAAATTCCTTTCTAATGCAGAATTTTTATTATATTAAAATCTTTGCCTTAAATAATTTACCTTTTCTTTTTACTTTTAACCAAATAAATGATTTGAATGTTACATTTAAGTATTACTGTATAGAAGAGAAGCACACAGGATAAATTAATTCCAGGTAACGGAGCTTAAACTAACCACATTAACATAAACTGTACCTGTTTATGATGGTTCTTAAAATGTTCAAAATTATGATCTAGCCCACAGATACCTGTATACTTAAATATACACATATTCAGGAATTGTAAACTACGTAGAAATTTCGTAAAAAGTCCTGAGGTGAGAGAAACTATGTGAAATGCCCCGTGGAGGCCTGAACCGAAAGATGCCTACAGTGCCACTGGTTTGGATGAAGGAAGAACCAGAAGAAAGGCCCCAGTTCTCTTGCTTCTTGACTGCTTCAGTTTCTGCAGAAGGGCAGAAGGGCACTTTGGAAGCCAGAGTCTAGAAATTAGTGAGGTACCTCCCCTTCCTTCCTAACTCTAGAGTGAGATCCTGGATGTATCCAATGAGTAAGACATCAGTCCTTGTCCCAGAAGATCCCCTCAAAAACACATGGTCCTTTGAAACAAAGCCAAAGGCACGATAGCTCTAGAGTGGAATTTCCCAAGATGAAAGTCCTCAGGCTCCTACGACGCAGGCGGTGCTAGCCACCGTAGCTATACTTTCTTTGATATGACAATTCACAGAGTAAGGCGGCCCATGTCCTAGTTTTCCATCACTCCTAGATCTCAGAGTAAAATCTATCAAAATTCCAAATTATGCGATAATTGTAAATAATTTACAAAATTGAGAAATCTGGTATTTAGAAGAGAGGAGGCCACCCCTGCGTCCCCCGAGCTCATGGTTATGGAGACCCGCGATGGCCTGCTTTGAGATCGGCCTTCTCATCAGTGCGGCTGTATTTATTGTGGATTTATAGGGGATAAAGTTCCCTTGCAACTCAGTTTACCCCACGAGGCACCCTAGTCATTGCTCTGAAAGAAAGGTGACAGCCCTCGGCTTTATCACTGACTCGTCCCAGACATGTGCGCGGGACGCTTGTTTCATGACGGTCCTTCGGCCGCGGAGGCCAGGTCCTGCCCAGGGCGCGCCGCTGTGCCCACGGGCCGCAGTGCGCGGGCGTGAGGATCCCCGCAAACAGTTCACGCGCCTTCGCACGCAGAGTCTGCTCCGCGGGCCCAGCGCCCAGCTCCAGCGCCAACCCCGACGGGCGGCAGGGGCGCCGGGGCGGGGCCTCTAAGGACGGCTCCTGATCCCAGGGGAGCCGGGCGGCGGCAGCCCGAGGCTAACCGATGCTGTGTTCCCTCTGCAGAAGGAGTTCAACAACGACTGCAAGCTGAAGGAGCGGATAGAGGAGAACGGGTACAACACCTACGCGTCCTTGAACTGGCAGCACAACGGGCGGCAGATGTACGTGGCCCTGAACGGAAAGGGGGCCCCCCGGAGAGGGCAGAAAACGCGGCGGAAAAACACGTCGGCCCACTTTCTCCCGATGGTGGTGCACTCCTAGGGGCGCGCCGGGGGCCCCGCCGGACCCGCGCAGGGCGCGCCCG